GGTTATGTAGCTCAGGTTCTCGGGGTTCAGCCAGGACCGGATGATATCAGGGGCGGCGGATTGAGGACCGGCTGCATACGCGACACTTTTCGTGTGTTGCCTGATGGTGCTGATGAGGCCACTATTGCGAGACATGCTCGAGCGTACCTTTTTCTGCTCATCTCGGGTGTGTTGTTCGGTGGCAAGAGTGGCAGCCATTTACAGATCATTTACCTGCAGCTGGTAGACCACGACTGGGAGCATATTCGTGGCTACAGTTGGGGCAGTGCTTGTCTGGCGATGTTGTATCGCCATCTGTGTAGAGCATCCCGCCGGGGTTCTCGTGAGATCAGCGGACCGTTATTTTTGCTTCAGGTAACCTACCTATCTGTTAACAATTTAATTCGGAAAGTTCTTACTTAGTTTACAATTAACCTAGTTTTTTGTGTTTGATGTCCAGTATTGGTCTTGGGAGCACATCCATGTAGGCAGGCCAGGTAGGCCTGCTATACATCGTCAGGGGCAGTAGGATCAGGACCAGCAGTATGAGCGGTACATTCCTCCACCACGGCCTTCTGCTGACGAGGCGTACGCTTGCAGATGGGCGGTCCCCAAGCTGACATATGCGCATGCGGCGAGGGGCTGCCGTACTACCGAGACGCCCTTGATCGACTGACCGAGGATCAGGTGAAATCTTTAATTTGTTTATGAAATTGTTATTTATTATGTATACTCTTAACATATTTAATATGCACTAACCTGTTTATTATGTTACTTTTTATGTGTTATCGCAGATGACATGGGACCCGTATGAAGCTGATTTAGTTGCTGCCATGCCTCCACATCTGCTAGATCATCAGGCGCAGTGGCGTTTTAGGGTCCCCCTGATCTGTTTTGAGGTCGTCGAGGATCACCTACCAGATTGAGTCATGCGACAGTTTGGACTACGACTGACTGTCCCCTAGCAGTGTGACACTAGTGCCCGGCTGCACCGCATTGACCGTCGGGGAAAGAGCGACAGGAACTGGCGGACGGAGCATGCCTAGTACATTGACTTGTGGCATCGACGGTTGGAGTTCGTCGTCACTGGTGACCCCATCCACGGCGTTATGGATCCATACGATCCATACATGGAGTGGTACATGCGGATTACACGGCGTTTCATCAACCCCAGCTACACACCGCCATCCGCACATTACCATCCATCCTTTGACGTGATCAGGGGATATGTAAGTGTATTTGATTAACTTATTTTTATCAATTTTAAATTTGTATATCATTCAACTAACTCATCCTTAATTACTGCAGGCGTTGGATATGATGGCGATGGTTGACGCACTGTCGGACGTCCTTCCAGGCATACCTGAGCCGCCTAGAGCACAGGTCGAGCGGGTGCGAGATATGGGCATGGCTACCTTGCAGAGATATGGTCACGCCTATCTCGTCCACCCCCGGGACGATCATGGCGGGCACTCTAGTCACTCACAGTTCGAGGCTGGCCAGAGTAGCTGTGGGGGTGATCCTTCGTCATTCACGGGCGCAGAGGAGTACGACATTCGCAGTTCCGCGCCCCTACGTCATCCTGATGACCCATCTTCCAGCCAGTTGACTCCGCCAGTACGCCCGAACCCATTTACCACGGTCCGTCACTACAGCCGTCGTCAAAGGCCGAGAGTGGACATACAGGATAGAGAGCCGTTACACCAAATTGATGAGTCAGAATAGGATAGAATTATCTGATTTATTTGCTGTAATGATCTTCTCTAGTTTGTTGTACATAACACTTACATTACATTATTATTTGAATAATTATTTGAATGAATTTATGTCTTGTTTGAATTTCAAATTCCTTATTTGTCCACGTTTGACTCATTTCGTTCAAAATAAATTGTGGATGTGGATGTGGTGGATGTGGAGGAGGATGGGTGGTGGAGGTGGTGGATGTGGAGGAGGAGGGTGGTGGAGGATGTGGAGGAGGAGGGTGATGGTGGTGGTGGATGTGGAGGAGGAGGGTGGTGGTGGTGGTGGTGGATGTGGAGGAGAAGGGTGATGGTGGTGGTGGATGTGGAGGAGGACGGTGGTGGAGGATGTGGAGGAGGAGAGTGGTGGTGGTGTTGGTGGATGTGGAGAGGGTGGTGGATGTGGAAGGGGGCTGCACTGGCTGCTGTTGGGGGCTTGCTGTTGCTGGCTTCAGCCAACAGATAAAACGCTGACTGAGGCAGCGTTTTATGCTTAGGTGTAAAACGCTGACTCAGTCAGCGTTTTTCTCTGTTATGGATACAAGAAAAACGCTGACTGAGTCAGCGTTTTACTGTATTTCCAATTTTTTTTTTATAAATTTGTATTTCACATAATACAAAATTTTATAAAAAAAAATAATAACCAAAGGTAAAACGCTGACCGAGGCAACGTTTTATGTCAGAAGCTCAGTTTCGTAAATAGTTTGACCACGCGTCTAGATTGGTAAATTATTTGCCAATTAAGCTTACTTTCGTAAAAAATCCGTAATCATAACAAAAATAAAATATCATGTATTAAAACTGTTCATGTTCATGGAAGTGGAGCCCGGAATACAGAAATGTCTAAAATGGTTGGGCTATTAGTATCCCAAATGCAGTGCATTTTGCAGCAGTAAAAAAATAAATGATACCATATCATATCATATCAAATTATCAATCGATTTATTCATTTCTAATTTATTGTGAGGATGACTATATTGTTTCAATTATAAACTTTACCTACTATTCTAGCTAATTTAGTGGATTCTATGGATTGTTTGTGCCCATTGTTTTTATTTATTTATTTATTTTTTTTTTTATTTTTTTTTTTTTGCATCCTTGAGATCCCTGGCCTTGTGCCCATTAATTTGCATCCTTAAAAGGATTCATTTTAGTTATTGTTACAAGTTGTACTATGTAGATGTCAACAATTTTAAATACTTTATCTATTTTATTATTAAATTCTCATTTATATTTAACACGAATTTACACTAGTATAGAAGAAAGGAGATCATATATAAATGCATGAGCATGACTTAAGTGGGTCTAACATGTATTTAAATTAGAGCTAAAAAATTAAGTTTGATTACCATACTCATTAAAATCTTTTTTACACTAGAGAAAATTAATGCTTCTTTTAAGCAAATCGCGTGAACTTGCCAACAACTAACTTGATCTTAGAAAATTAATACATTTATAGTTGGTTCTTAAACAAGCAAGATCTCATATATAAATGATCAAAATGCCACTCTTTTTATATGCAATGCTATTTTACTTGACCCTTCATTTATAAGTTAGTTAACGAACAAAAACTTGTTAATGTATATATCCATTATATGTTGAAATAATGTTGAAAACTTGAAATATATAACTTCTACCTCAATTATTGTTTGCTTTTTCCAAATGTCCAAAAAAATTAAGATATTAATGTACAAATAAATAAACCGTGTACTTTTATCTCAGGACAACCAATAATAATAGTGCCCTATTCGTAACTTATGTGCATATATATACGAGAGTACTTTGTAGTAACCATGTAATGAGATGCAATCTAAAACAAACTAGCTATATTATGAACATTAGCATATTAATCGATATATTTTGTTTGGACCACTAGCACCACCATTAGTAGAAATTGTTGGCTGGAAATGTATGTTGAAGTTAAATCTGACATCGTTTACACGTACAATTATATACGAGTATATATATACATATAGTTCAATAGTTGTATTTAAAACCATCTTACTATCTAACAATAAATTAAAACCTTGCAGTTGTACTAAATTGAAGATTGCTAGGTTGTCAATTAGGTATGGACATGTGGGGGAACATTTTCAATCACTTGAATTTCACTTATTTGTGCCTATAAAGTATAATTAGTTTAATTTTCACGAACTAAGTTTATTATTTTATCTTTTGATTTGTTTTGTGCACTGGATTTACGGAGTATTATTGTAGAATTTATTTTACGTAGTAGTTGTGAATTAAACTTGATCATCCGTGATTTCAGCTACTTTACATACTTATTATACTTTTAGTATAATCATATAAGTTGATCCTTTATTTTGCCTAAAAAAATGTATTTATTACGTATAATACTGATATTATAATACATAATTATGGAGAAATGGAGGTAGTATTATAAAGGGTGCGGGACAATGAGAGAAGAGGAGGTGGCCAATAAACCTACAGATTTTGTACTACTTTGCCTCATCAATATACTTTCGTATATATTATAGATGTGGTCCCACTTATTTTAATACATTGTGTATTTATTTGTCGAAATTAGTAAGTTAGAAAATCAGAAATTACGTACTTCGCTTCTTAAGAAAAAGTACGGTCTAATTGACATTTTTATTCATTTATTTTTAAAAGGAAAATCGACATTTGTAAAGTTCCCTCAACTTTAAAAAGGAAAATGGAGGCAAAGGCAAGTTACTTCATCCGTTATGTAGTTCAGCCAATACGAGCGAAAAGAAGGCAAGATTATTGAGAATATTGCTCCCAATTTGATGGCTACCCTGCACCCTAAAATTGTATAGAAGCTACCTAAAACATAAGCAAGGTAGATTCTTATGCAACCAATACAAATAATAATATAATATGTTCCATTGAAGTAATTAAAAAGATGAATGTCAGCTAGTACAACTGGCCTTTAGTAAGTATATATACTATTAGTGTACTAATTAAATCCCTAAAATTTTTAGAATAATTATAGATTGTAAAATCATAAACAATCGGTAGTAGACTAGTAGAAAGACTATTAATAACCATACTTCAACTTTTGTCATCTCATTTAACATAATTAATATTTTATCATTAGAGTGGCGATTGAAATTCAACTTTGAAATAGAATGATTACCTGTATAAAAGTTTGAAAATTATAGTTCATTTTTCTAATTATTACCACGTAGCAATTTAGGTAAGAAGCAACATAACACAACTTATCGAGGTTATGTGAAAAGTAACACCTTTTATATTAGATCACCCTCTCACCTTTTTACCTTTTTACGCCCGTCTTTTTTCCCCCTCCCTCCCTCCCTCCCTCCCACTATATGACCCTTGCCCACTTATATCCCCCCTTTCCCTGTCTCCTTCACTCCCCATAACTTCATCAATTCTCTGCTATGCTTTTGCCCCCACACCAACTCAACTCCCACTGCTGCCACACCTCCAAAATCTGTTCTTGATTCTTTATGACTATTGATGATGGGTATGTCTTAATTTTCCTCATGAAGTTATTCCCATGAAAACAATGATGAAAAGTTTTGTAGTTCTTGTCAACACTTCTACCTGTAATCAGTTGTCACGTTACTTGTTCAAATCGCGCTATTATGACTCAAAACATATGTTGCTTTTTCTAAGTGCTATGTATCACTCTCATTCTTCATTTCTTCCCATTCATGTTGCCTCTTTCTTAGGCATTTTACAGGACAAAAAGCTGCCATTTTGTTATTTGTTGTTTGGTGAAATATGTAATTATGTAATTCACCAAACTACTACCCCTACATTTTTTTAGCTTTCACCCTTTTTTTATTGTGATTTGTGGTGAGAAAATGTCCTAAAAAGCAAAATTTGTGTACTTTTTCTCTATAAAATTATTCCAAATATATGCATATATAACCTCATTAAAATCCATGCCTTATTTTATTTATTCATGATGAAAACTTAGCAGGTAAAAATGTGATTCAAACTTCTTTTAATTGAGATTGAAGTTGCTTGAGGAATCAAGGCAAATTAAAAAGAGGAATTGTTTTTATTGAAAAGAAAGAGGAAGAAATCCAAGGATGCCAGTTCCTCTTGCTCCATATCCTACTCCCCCAGTACCTTTCACTCCACCTGCTGCAAATGGTAATTTCTTTAGCTTAAAATTATTTACTTAAAAATGTGAAATTCTTTTTATAGAAATAGAGAAATTTTGGTTTGGGTACTTAACTTTTCTTGAGATTCTTTGTTTGGTTATGAAACTGTAAATTTCTGTTTCCTCTGCCTAGATTCAATAGTCCTGATGATAATATAATTTGAACTAGTAATGTAACAACTAAATCCCGACAGAGGAAGTTGATATTGGCTTCTTTGACTATTAGGTGGTGATGGTTTTCCTACATAGAAATGAGAATAATTGGGATTGCATATGAAAATATTGTGATAATATGAGTGTTGAATGCTGGATGAGCAGGAGCACAGAGTCAATTAGTATGCTCAGGATGCAGAAATCTTCTACTATATCCTGCTGGAGCTACTTCAGTGTGTTGTGCTGTGTGCAATGCTGTTACTGCTGTCCCACCCCCTGGTAATTTCTTTTTTCCTTTGTTTTTTTTAAATGATTAATTTCGTAAGCAATTTTAAATTAGGTTCTACTTTCAATTTGGCCATGTGATGCATAGATGCAATTTTTTTCAATGTTTTTTCCATTAAAACTTTGAACATTTATTTTGCCCGGTAAGGAGAAGAGCTATACCAAATCGAAATCTTTCATAGGTCCTCCCGTGCTAGATTAGCGTGCTAGGTACTTTAAAATGGGAGAAGGGTAAGGAACTAAGGAATCCCTCATCCTAAAGAGCGTCTAGTGGAGTTTGACAACCTTTTAGTTGTAGGATCCAAAATTTTCCATAAACCATGTTTTTCTCGGTATTAAAACTTTGAATATATATATTACGTATTATATATTTGTGAGATATAAAGTATACTTCCTGCATTATATATTACTCGTAGCAAAAGGGTATTATTTGTGAGATATAAAATATTCCTTTGTTGCAAATAATATATAACGGAGGGGGTATTTAAATTGGTAACCAAATGAGAAAACCTACTAACCATAGTAATTAGTAATATAGTATAATACGAAGTATGTATTAATGTATCATATGAGAAAATAATCGGGAGTAATTTTATTTTTTAGGGAGAAAATAATAAATTTGGAAATTAGTTATCCACGTGTCACGAAGACATGTATGAATACAATATGGGTACAGGGTTGAATTGATGAAAGTAAGTTGATGAAACAGGGACAGAGATGGCCCAACTAGTATGTGCCGGATGCCACACACTACTAATGTACATCCGAGGTGCAACAAGCGTACAATGTTCTTGTTGTCATACCGTTAATCTAGCTTTGGAAGGTAAATTTAAATTTAAATTGAATTAAGTTGATAATTTGATCTTTATTTCTTGGTTAATTGCAGGATTATGGAAATAAAATTTAATATTGCAAATCGTAATTTTTTGTCCTGGTAGCAAATCAAGTAGCACATGTGAATTGCGGGAATTGTAGGATGCTATTGATGTACCAATATGGAGCACGATCGGTAAAATGTGCAGTCTGTAATTTTGTCACTTCAGTTGGGGTAAGTCGATACAATTTTCATTTAATGGTTTTAGTAAGGTAGAAACTACACACTCGTAACAAGTTTTTAATCTCGTGCAATTTAAGAGATGTGTCAATGAATGTTAATGAGCTATGATTCACGTACAACAATGTTGGTTTTGGAAGTTATCAAAACTAGCAGTAGTAATTGAAAATTTTGAAATGAATGGGTTGTAAGCAAGAGGTTTGAGGGTCAAATTAATTATATAAGCAACAACGTCAAAATTGTAATCATACTCTTCATTTTCTTGGTAGATTGTAGTACTCAAATTATGGATATTATCTTTTTCACCATCAACGGTGGAATAATGGATCCAATGTGAATTGACTTACATATTCTATATAATTATTAAAATGAAACTTTGATAAGACGCCTAGGATTTTTCAAATAAGAGACTTCATATGCAATTTTCAAATGTCGATTAAAGAAATGATGCAAGCCAATACATCACAACAAGTATGAGTATTAGTTTATCAGAAGTTAAGATTGATACACAAAGTTAAGAAAATTTTCTTTTAAGCCTTTAATCTAACTAATCATGAAAAGAAAATATTGATTATTAATGAGTTCAAATCCAAATAAATTTGTCTAAAATGATTTAATAAAACAACATAATCTACTATCTGATTTGATTCTTGACAAGCTAAGAATTAAAAATAGTACGTGATACTCGTATAAAGTTAAGGGAAATAATTTAGACAAACTAAAAATAAACTTCGGCACACATTAATATTAGAAGAATGGCATTGAAAATTATGCTCTTATAATATTTTGGCCAAATTAATTTTTTGGTGTACCTAGCTCAAATTCCTAACTCACAAGATGATTGATTGATGGCATCATGTCAAGTTTTTCTAGTCAAATCAACTTTTTAGATTACACATAATACATGACATGTGAAGTCTTTTTGTTGATTTGTTCCAATCTTATCCTATAGATGAAAATTAAGTTGAAAACAAAAATATTAAGTGTCAATTTTAGGTGAAAATAAGAGTCATCCTTATTTTATTATTTTGATAATTATTTTTGAGTGAGGCTTAAGTCATGATGCCGTCATATTGTGATAAGAACTACACCTCTAATTATACATTTAAATTTTAGTTAGCATAACATCAATGTCGTCACATTAATATAATTATCCAATTTTTGGACAAATTTTTTGCACAAATTTGTAATCTTCCAGTTTAGTTGTTTGTACAATCTCATCATCCTCAAATGTTACTTTCAATTATACATGAATCATCAAATCATTATGTCGCTAAGAAACCAACAATTACTAATAACAATTATGCCCCTCGTATTAAAGTTATATTCCTATTACTTGTATTTTTCAAACTACGTCGAACTACCTCCGTTACAGGTTATGTGCAACGATTTAACATAAAACAGAGAGGAAAATGTCTAATCGTTGCACATAACCTGTAATGAAGGTAGTATTAAATTTTAATGATTTTTACAAATAAATCGTCAAAGATATTAATCCTACAAATTTACTATAATTTTAAAATCAATGGTGTATATTTGGAGGAAAACTATATTTTTATATTGTGGATTTGATTTAATTGCTAAATGAAATGCAGGCATCAGCAAGTATTCCAGAACAGAACTTACAGAAGTTCAACAATAGCTGATAAAAAAAAAGGAGAAAACTAGAGTACAAATTTATTTGTATTATTGTCCGGCAATTTAATCTCCAAATGAAGGAGATTGGCATAAATCTTCTAGTATATAGAGGTTAATTTTCTTTTCCTGTTTTTCCCTTGAGATTTTTCCAGGAAAAAAATAAGCGATTTTCGTCGAATTTCGCCCAATGGCTAATACTGTTTTGTAAAAGGGTAGATTAAGATAGGTAAAAAAAAGGTGTTAGTCAGTGTGAAAGAAACTTCAATTTCAATGGGTTTGTATTGTCTTTGATGTGTGATTATAGCTTCCGTTAATACAAATTAATCTCCAGCTAGCTCATCATTAGGGTTCAAATTGTAGTATGAAACAGTTTCTAGCTATTATTAATAATATACTATGTTGCTCATTTTTCTAACTTGTACGTAGTATTATGTTGCTAAATTAAGTCACCATCAATAACTCACCATTCTCCTAGTTCTAAATTATGAAATTTTTTATCAAATCAGCTTAGCTTCTTATGTTCATTCTTAAAACATGAGTCTTTTTTAATCATAGAAATTACGTATCAATGTTGCTAAGGCTCGGTTATTTTCACCTTACAAGTCCGTCTTACAAACTAAAAACAAGATTTACTCACTGATTGCGAATCAAGATATTTATGGGTGGAAAATATATTGAGAGGTCAGGACTTAATGAAAGAAACATCCAGATTACTGCCAAAAAAGGGTCATTTTACCCACAAAGCTCTGAAAATGTAGCAAAAAGCAGGACAAAATTTTGTGAGGCCCTCCTCTACCAAGCTTACACTTATTAAAATAGCGCAAAAAAGTCCTTTCTATATTGATAATGCTCTATCACAATAAGGACATGAAAAAAAAATCCACTTGACTTGAATTTATTCTTGCATATCTTGTTGCAGATTTGGAAATAGCCAATTCCTCTTGTTTAGTCAACTATCAGATAATACTCCATTGTAATAATTCAGCTAGAATGTGTCCATTTCATAACAGACAACAGTTCGGAAATTTACATCATTATCTATGTTATTCAGATTCTCTATTCTGACCTTTAATACTAGTATAATGTTTTGGTAGATGGTATTGATGACGGACTGTGAATATGATTAGTAAAAGGATCAATGGTAATGTCTAAGAGAATGCAACTCTACTCTCATATGTACTTTGCTAATTGTACTCGATTGATCTATGTTACTCGGACACAAAATCAAGTGCAGATTAGCAGATGATGTAAAGTCCTATTTAACGTAAACAAAATGCAAAGTTAATGGGAGAATTAAGAACAGCAGATGTGAAAACAGGGCAATGAGTTGCAAATTCTGAACAATTATTCTACGGTGATCATTAAGCACTTAATAAGAGCAGGAAATGTACTTATAAGCTACACATGGATTACATCAGAATAACCCCTAAATTCGATTCTCTTTACGCAACAGAGACGGGACTTCTGAATGTCAGTACACAATCTTGATAGTATAAAGACTCTAGACAGTTAACAGTTAAGTGAGCTTGCTCAACTGAAGGTCTGAAGATACACACCTGAAACTTGAAAAGTAAGTCAATACTTCATTGCCTGGAATATGTCTTCAACCCTGATGAAATGAGGACCTCGTTTATTCATCATCTAAAGCCAACTCCAATGCATAATCATCCATTTCCTGCACTTGATTCACGAGGAGCATTATCGAGCTGTAGAGAGTTGAGGACCACTACCATCATTATGGCTTAATTAATTAACATCTATAGAAAAATATCTCCCAAAGTGAAGCCATTATACCTGCAATTATGATATATCTTTCAGCCTCAGTCATTATTAAGGCTTCAACAATAGATAAGCTTATATGAAGCCTAAAGCTACCAGTACAGAATTTGAAAACAAAAAACTATGAACACTTGGTTTAATCAAGGATTGCACAAGTGGGGGGTAGAATAAGGATATGAAATCGATAAATGCAAGAAAATACATGCATCATATAGATGCAATGTAGCCTTCTTAAGTCGAATAGAAAGTTAAACAGGAATACTGGATAGCTTACAGGAGCTACTAACATTCAGTTTGTTTTCAAACTGGCCCAATCCAATATGTTATATTCTAGCCTAATTCATTGTGCCAAAATTATGTACTTACATGAAATCATTCATAAAAAAATATGGTTTCTTATCAGTCAAAATCCATATTTTAACTCAAATTTGTATCCTGAGAATGATTTTTGTTAGAAATTTAATACATTTGATTGATTGTTGAGTTCATTACTTTCTAAATGTCAACCTATTTCGAAGACCTTCAGCTTTCTTGTCATTGGTTGAATATATATGATCAAACAGATGTTCTAATGCACAACTTTAAACTTGCTTTAATTAGCTTGATCCAAACTACCTGAGATTTTAATTCAGCAGATATTCCAAGTGCATCAAGTTGACAGAGTTTTCCAGATTTGACACGGACTGACGGACAGCATAGCTATTACAGCAACCTGCAGCACAAAGTATCTATTACAAAAGCTTGTCAATAGCAAGGGCTGAAATTGCAACATATTTGCATTGATTCTTCATATGTAGGAACAGGATACAAGCAGGGGAAAATGTTCCAAAAATCCATTAATAACCCGAGATTAAAGTACTTAAAGAATGTTCAATGGAGCTTAATTATCCTCTTCTTGCTTGCACCCCTCCTCAACCAAATCCCAACCATGTCAACAGTGTTTCCAAAAAGAAGGGAAAACAAAAAACGAACCCAACATACCATCAATAACATAATAACTTACATTATAACAAAAAAGGGTACACAAACCCCTTAATTACCTATAGTTAAAAGAAACATTCGTAGTAGAAATAGAAAGGCTTCTTGAATAAAATCAACGTATATAGAATGAGACGCGTCAAGTAAGTCACTTTGTGTCTCATTTAAGTCAGCTTATCTTGTTTAGGTCTGTGAGGTTACACATGAATCTTAAACCTCATGTATCTTCGTATTATACGTATATAAATATATCACCTTAATCTCATAGTTCACTCAATTTATACAAGGCCGGATTGCTAAAAATGCATGGAGTACATAAAAGTGTTTTAGGGGACAATAAAGGAAGTAACATTATAAATATAGAAAAGCTAAGCTACATCTGTAACTGAACCAATTTATTTATTACCAAAGTGAGGCATAATAAATCAAATTTTTTACAAATGCTATATTTTCTTACTAAAGTGAGGCATTATATTAATAAACCAATCTCTAAGAATCTAAGATCTAATGTAATGAGACAATAATGACCAAGACAATACTCCATCTTTAGTAACCTATCCACCAAACGTGTTTTTAATTTATCTCATTGTGTTTAGTCTTTTAAAGCACCAACGAATAGTTTGTTACCAATTCAATGTAAGATTATGACATTACCTTATAGAGTAGTAGTAATGAATATCAAGGCAACAACTAACAGAATCTTAATGTAGACGGTACACTTAATTAAGAAATAGTAGAAAAGACGTCAATTAAATATCAAGTACACGGTTTTTTTATCCTGAAATGCAAAGCAATTAGGTACGTAAAATGAGAACAATAACGTGTAACTTTGAAAAACATGGAAAGTGGAACTACTATTAACACTTCCTCATCCAGTGATATTCAGCATTGAAGTATAACCTGGAAATGATTAATTTCTATATTAGATGATATATTAGGGCCTGTTGTCATTGACTGAACTCAGCTGAACTGAACTGAACTGAAATGAATATTTTATAAGAGAAGGAAATTAGGAGCTGAGCTGAATTGAACTGAATTTCAACGTAAGAGAACAGACCCTTACTCCGTACCATATAATTCCACGACAAGCACTTAATTTCACGCATTTGACATTTACAAAACATAATACTCCCTCCGTCCCTAAATTACTTTCCTCTTTCTAGTATTTATTCCTCACATAATAGAGAGAAAAAAGAATGTAATTTAGGGATGGAGGGAGTACTCCGTAATAAAAATCTATAAACCTTTCCTCTTTTGACTTTATAAAATGTTTGACAATAATCTCTAATGTCCAAACAATAAAACAAGAATTTCAACAAGAAATGTGATCATTCATTGTCATTGACGATTCTCATTTGTACTATGACTCTGTGAGCCGTATGAGGTTGATTTTAACTCGAACAAAATCTTAATTACGCCATCAAATCAAATGTAAGTGAACAGCTAAAATCATATGTCAAAGATTATTAATTCCAATATAACACACATGAAATGGATTATAAAATACTTCGTAATACATAACAATGTTAATAAATTCGTACTCATATTAAATCAAGCAATTAAACAAAAATAATACCGTGCGCCCGTGCCAGCAAACGAAAGGAAGGCTTGTGTATATTTATTCCGTAATTATATTAATTAATTAAGGTCGGTCAAGTCACCATTCTTCTTTGGCATTCCATTGAAAAACGTTTCCAGCTCAAAACTTCTGACTTTCTCTCTCCTTAATCCTCCTTCATCTTCCCACAGCTTTAGTGAGAGAAGGAGAAAGGTCCAAATTCCTAAATTAAACTTTTTTTATTTTCATAATTATAAATAAATGAAAAGTGCTCTCCCAAATTCACATTCTCTATTTGAATCAAAAATATTTCAACACCCTTCTCCTTGTTTTTCTCCTCTCAAAACCGTCCACAACACCCAACACTGTCCCACAAAAAAATTGTTGTGGAACACGCCTTAATAGGTAAAAACCCGTATCCAAACGGCTAAAGCTAAACCTATTTAACCCAACAACCAAAATAAATTTGTTGGTCTTTTACATATTATCATCATCATCTTCCCACGCCGCCATGAACTACCACATTTTATCTGAAATTTGGGGTGTTCTTAGGTTGGCGGCTCCATATTTGGCAACATTACTCGCATCAATAATTCTAATCGAGCAAATCGTCTACTTGAGGAAGAAATCAAGGTTACCAGGGCCAACCCTGGTACTCCCATTTCTCGGTAATGTCGTCGGGTTAGTTCGGGATCCGGAGAAATTCTGGGACGAGCAAGCGGACTACGCCAAATCAACCCCTCTCGGAATATCCGTCAATTACATCATCGGAAAGTTCATCGTTTTCATTCGAAACTCCGAGATGAGTCACAAGATATTCGCCAATGTCCGGCCTAATGCATTCCAGCTAGTAGGCCACCCATTTGGGAAGAAGCTATTTGGCGAGCATAACATGATCTATTTATACGGTCAAGAACACAAAGATCTTCGACGTCGGATAGCGCCGAACTTCACCCCGAAAGCGCTGGCTACCTACTCGAATATCCAGCAGGTAGTTATACTCAAGCATCTGATAAATTGGAGTGAAAATCAGTCGCATTGTCCGGTTGGGCTGCGACTGTTGGCGAGAGAAATGAATCTAGAAACTTCTCAGAATGTTTTCGCCGGGCCGTATTTAAAGAAAGAAGCGCGTGAGAGGTTTAAGGTTGATTATAACTACTTCAATGTTGGTGTTATCGCTCTGCCACTTGATTTCCCGGGTTTCGCGTTTCGAAACGCGAGGCTCGCGGTGGATCGACTCGTCGAAACGCTTACGGGTTGTGTCGAGGAGAGTAAGAAGAAGATGGAGAAGAACGAAGAGCCTGAGTGTTTGATTGATTTTTGGATGCAGGAGATGGTGAGGGAGGAGAGAGAAATGGAACAGCCGTCGCAATCTCCGCCGCCGAATTGCAGCAACCGTGAGATCGGAGCTCATGTGTTTGACTTTTTATTCGCGGCGCAAGATGCGTCGACGTCGTCGCTGTTGTGGGCCGTCACATTGCTGGATTCACACCCGGAGGTTCTCAAGAAGGTCCGAGAAGAAGTTGAGTCAATATGGAATATTGAATTGAATTCGTTTATTACGCCAGATCAGTTAATTTCAATGAAATACACGCAAGCGGTGGCGCGTGAGGTTGTCAGGTACCGCGCCCCCGCTACGCTCGTGCCACACGTGGCGTGTGAGGAGTTTCATATATCAGAGGAATATACTATTCCTAAGGGTACAATTGTCTTTCCATCTGTTTACGAGTCTTCCTTTCAAGGGTTTTCCGAAGCGGACCGGTTTGACCCGGACCGCTTCTATAATGAGGAAAGGAGGGAAGAGCAGCTATTCAAGAGGAATTTTTTAGTGTTTGGCGCGGGGGCTCACCAATGCGTTGGGCAAAAGTACGCGCTCAACTTGCTCGTGGTGTTCATTGCGATGTTCGCCACGTTGATGGACTTTAAACGACACCGTACCGACGGCTGCGATGGTCTCAATTTCTGTCCCACTATTTGCCCTAAGGATGATTGTTCGGTTTCTCTCTCTAAAAGGTGTTTCAAGTTCCCTACACTTTCCCTCTCCCTTGACCAAGACTAGTGAATGGACATTATTACGCTCGTGTGATTCTTTTTTCCTTGATTATTTTTTTGGAAGATTCAATGTTTTTTTTAGATAATTCTAGAACATTATGTCATTAGATTCAGTCTCTACATAATAATAGTCAAGTACTATTTAGCATTTAAATTGATTATTAATGTGTAAAAATATTATTATTGAGACTGTAAATGACTTTTTGTAATTTTTTTTTTTTTTTTTTACTTTTTTATATTATTTGGAACAGTTGGGATGTCTTTTGGTGTATGTCATTTTGCTTTTTTAAAGAGTGCTCTTTGCTTTTCTTTTTATTTTTTTCCCTCCGTTATTGGAAATTGAGTCTGTATTTTTTGGAATCATATTGCTGTTTTTTGGGGGCAAACTTTTTTTAAAAAAAAAATGTTAATAATGTAATGAAATTATTTGGTATCTCCCGCCAAGTCATTTTAGTTATTTATAACATTTATTTAGTGGTTCAGTCCTTTTCAGTACATATGGCACTTAATTGGCATTACTCTCACTTTTTTGAAAAGTTCATTTTCTTTTTGACAACCATATCTTCTTACTACGGAGTACTTTACAAGTGTGAATGATGAATGATTGTGTGATGATAGAGGATTGTGATTGTACAATTGTACTTGATGTAATTAAATACTCTGTAGTTGTTACATATATACCTATATGCTATCTGTCTATGTATCATGGTTTATACGTTTGTATAAGTGTACAAGTAACATCATTTATTCATTATGGAAATAGTCGTAGACTTGTAGCTTTAACATGAATAAGACCATTCTTTAATTAAAGTCGTGTCATTTTAATTTTCAATTAATTTTTTAAAATTATTATGTATGTCATTCTATGAGCGGGGCAGCGTCAAGCCTTAGGTACTAGTGGCTTGGTCGCGTGCCTATGCTAATCTCTATTCTTTTTCTGTAGTTTAGGGCTTTAATATCTTAGGGGTTAGAATTCGAAATTTTTTGGAAATTTCGGATCCTTCTGGTTTTAAATCTTCTTTAATCATGTTCCATATAGAAGGGGTGATAGGGGTGAAGAGGAGTTGAATGATGTACTAGATCTTATTATGCATTTTAGGGTCCTGAAGAAATTTTACCTATGGTGCATGAATATGAAAGATGAAAGTAATCTATTTTCTAAGCAAATATGTTTGATAAAACATATATTAGAACCACCAAAATCTTATGTTTTGCTTTATTGAGTAGTAAGGATAGCGAAACCTTTTTCTGTGAGCTTGCCACTTCCCTGAAGTTTAACCTTGCTTTGTGTTCTGGAGTATATAAGCTTGACATGTTTGCTTTAGTAATGGAGGTCTGGTCTTTTGTGCTGGAATTTGATCCCAGAAATACGTGAAAGCGTTATAGAAAATCTTTTAGTTCGAAGGAGATGAATAAGTTCGGGAGAGACTATGAAAGATTTAATTTATGCAGCAAGTAGAATCTTCATAAGTTTGAGAAGAGGCTTAAGACGCCAAGTGTTTGAATGAGGAAGTGTCTTCTGAAGCAATTTTAAATGCAACTTTTCCATGGAGAGGACTCACTCTTCCATAGAGAGAACTTCCATAGAAAGAACAATGCCTCTACTAATGTCACCACTGTGATCTCCAACAATTTACATCCATTTCAAGACTAGGTGCAATTTAAGGAGGGACTGAAGGATAAAAAGAAGGAAGGGAATGATGTTCCTAGTCCTCCCAATTCCTTTACTACTTAACATTGAGATTTCAAATGGAAAGGAAAAAAAAATAGGGAGGGAGTACAATATTTAGACGTGTTTATGATTTGCGATGCAGCATAGGAAACGCTAGTATCTATATTTTTGTTTACTATGTAATACGCAATAAATTACTACTCGTAGAATCTATTTCCTTCAGAATATTTCAAGATTCCAAAATGGGACAAACAAAAGAAAACATAGAGATGAGTACGAAATAAAACAATGTGATGCAAATCTGAACAATTGTAATTGCGATTGTCATTAAGCACTTTAATAAGAGCAGAACATGCACTTATAAGTTACACATGGATTACATCAGAATAATCTGTTGTGAGAAGAGTACTTCTAACTATCGATTTTCTTTTATGCACTGGAGACAGCAAGACATGAATTCCTTATCGTTACACGCATACAATATTGATAGTATGAAGTCTCTAAGCATTTATGTGAACTGATGGTCAGATGATATCACACACCTGCAAGCTGATAAGGGAATTAATACTTGAGGAATGTAGACAGCCCAGAGGTGACTAAGACCCCTTCTATTCATCAGCCAAGGCCAACTCCAATGCATAATCATCCCTTTCCTGCACATGATTCACGGGAGCATTATCGAGCTGTATAAAGTTGAGGATCACTACCACCATTATGGCTTTACATCTCTACCCCACCACACCCCCAAGTATACAACAATGTAATAATGGATTATATTTGACAACTTACAATTGGACCACGGGCAAAATATCTCCCAAACTGAAGCCAATATACCTGCAATTATGATATATATTTCAGTCCAATCTGTCTCAGTAATTAGCAAGAACAAGCATGAAGCCTAAAGCTAACAATACAAAATATAAACATCCCTGTTAACACTTGGTTTACATATAAAATTGTACAAGTGGGTGAGGAATGTGGAAGTAAAATGGATAGTTACAAGAAAAAAAGAACAATTACAAGTGAGAAAGGGAAGGACAAAGAATGGAAAGTATAGCCTTCCTGAAATATTGCCCATTACCTCATCCTCGTCCTGTGTTTCTACTTCAAGATCGGATGATGGGAAGCCCACACACAGTAGTGCATAGCCCTGTGACAAAAGGAGGAAAGTATGATCAATCCAAAAGCAACTCATTCTTTCGGCTTAATGACTGTAACACACAAGTTACTGACGGGTTTGTCACATAATTCTAATGTAGCCTCATAAATTCAATCAGGAAGTTAAGAGTTAAGCTTGGAGCTTCTAATACTATATCTGTCCTAAGCTAAAAAATGATATACTAGCTGAATTCATTGAGTCAAAAACAAGTATAATATATCCTATCAAGTATCAACCCTGCTTCTCACAAAGCCATCAGAATATGATTGAAAGCAACTATTCAGAAATTGATTGAGATTCTTTCATATAGTAATTTTATGGCTTCTTATCAGTCAAAGGATCCATATCTCCAAGTCAAACTTGTACCCTGACAATCATTTTACGGTTTTACTAGATATATAACACCTTCAATATATAAGTTTTTCACCTACTATATTTCCACTTATATAGAAAGCCTACAGCTTGTCATGGGTTCAATGTATTCAGTCCAGCGATGTTGACGTGAAAATCCACACAGACACATATACAAGTGTACAGCAATATACTTGTCTTAGCTTGACATACTACCTGAGATTTTAATTCAGCAGATATTCCAAGTGCCTCAGGTTGACGGAGTTGTCCAGATTTGACACGGACAGCACAGCTAGTACAACAACCTGCAACAGAAGTATTTGATAAATGTGCTTGTCAGTAGCAAGGGCTACAATAACTGAGATTACAACAAACAAGTGTGTATAAACTGTAAACCCCTTCTACTATAATCTAATCCTATATATATAGAATAAGAAAGGATTCTTGTATAAGATCAAACTATAATTAGGCACCTCATGTAGTGCTACCTGCTTCATTTATAGTCTTCAGCCAGTCTTATATAGGACTGTGAGGTCACACATATTTCCATACCTCATTAAAATATCACCTTGATCTTACAGTTCACTAGTTTTATTCAAGGCTTGCTCAAAAAAAATATGTTGAGTACAATGACCAAGACATTCCTCCCTCCATCTTTAATTACCTATTCACTTAACTAGTTTTTGGATTTTCTTATTTTTAGATTTTATCTTTTAAAATATCAACGCATAAAATGTTTTCAATTCAAATTACTGTGTGACATTACTAATTAGTCACAAATTCATGCAGCTACAACTAAAAAATTCTTAACATATGTGCTTAACCTTAAAAGATACAGAGAGTACCCTGTACATAATAAAGGATAGATCTCAATTAAATTGAAGGTTTTGCAAGGCAAACAAAAATGTAAAATGAGAACAATAACTTAACCTTAGGGAAGCATAAAAAGTGGAAATACTGTTAACACTCCCTTGTTCACATAGCCTAGTTCATTAATTAAGTAGTAACAACTAATTAAGTAGTAACAACTACATAAACTTCTAGTAGATGGCCTTTAAACATTTGCATAGAAGAATACAAGAATAGTTGCATTTTGACTCCTTGCTTTTATAGATTCCCTATTAGTCTGCAATCCAACACGGCACACACATTTTTTATGCTACAGCATGGTTTTTCATTGAACATTACATTGCCACAATGGAGGTTGCCCATCCATTGAAGATTAGTAATGCACAAATAGTAATGAAGTATGATCTTGAAATGAGTAAAGTTTATATATTTGATGAATAATTTACCGTAAAATCTCCATAACGAACAGTTTATTACATGCATTTGGCAAGGAATAAATCAACAACTATAAAGCCTTATTTACCAACTTTGTCAAATGCTCAACTAGCTTTAAACCTTGTTTGGTAATTAGTTGTTAGGTGGTTAATATATAGTTGATTAATATATTAACTGGTTTGACTAGCTGGTTATATAAACTTATTTGACTAGTACTCTAGTAGGTTGAAAATAACTCATTGTGTAAAAGAGTTTGGTAAATAATCGTTTATTGTTAGCTGTTTCAGTGTATTCAATACCCAAAAAGCTAATAGTTCAATAAGCTAATTTTAAAAAAAACTCTTATAACGAGCTTTTTCTAAAAGAGTTTTGTGAGCCCAAAAAGCTCTCATAATAAACTATTTATCAAACACCCAATTTAGCTTTTTTAAAATGGTCAAACCTCTAAAAGTGCTCAATAAGCTTAAAAAATTCCAATAATCTCTTTACCAAACAAGATCTTAATTTTCCCACAAGTGTGACGAAAGTGTTAATTTATTGGCCACGGGTCTCAGGATGTCTCATGAGGTCTCAAGTTCTCAACTGAAATGACACGTAGTTCATTACTTCATCTAACCAAAGCAAAATTTAACAGCAGCTTATGTCAAAGACAGTTTATCCCGGTATGACATACACTGATACACATAAACAGAATTACAGCGCGTGCTCAACTCTAGGGCTAATTACGAAGTATAAGACTTGAATGGTACTTGTGACAAAATCACATGACTGATGTTTAATTTAGGCCGAATGTTCTTCTTAATAGCTTCATATAGTTCACAACTTCAGACTCATTTCCAGAGAATCACATGAAAGCTCCTAATTATGAACAATATAATTTATTTATTTTACTCAACCTAAAAAGTTGCAACATTTCATCACAATTACTGCATTAATTAATTAATTAATGATAATTCCTACAAATTCAAGCAATTAAAAAATCAGACAAAATTCTTTAAAAAAGAATAAAACACAATACCGTGCCTGCAAGCGAAGGGAAGCTTAATATCCTGATCTTCTGCAGTATGCAATATATATTGATCCTGCAAAATTAAATTCACAGAATAAATATAAATCCAATAATAATAATTTTATTTTTTTAATTCAATTTTGTTGATAATGGATTTTTAGGTTAGACTACCTCGGGAACTAAGAATTCGTGAGTTAATCCGCGTTGCCGGTCATGAACGGTGATTTTGTGAGTCGGGATTGACGCAGAAGTTGAGCTTCTTCCGTTGACTTGCGGCGACGATTGAAGTTCCGACGTCGTATTAAGGCGTCGAAAGCGAGAGAATTGGTGGTGGAATGCCGGTTTCCGGTGAAGTGGGACCCGGAAACTGGGAAGTAGAGCTTGAAGTTCCATCTGTTCTTCAAGTGTGTGGGTGAACGATTGCGCTAAGATAACTGTAACGGATTCTCTATCTTTTTTTTTTTTTTTTTTTTGGGTACCAAAAACTTAAAATTAATATTTGGGCTGTTGTATGGGCTGGTGCCCAATTGATCCAACTCATGGGTCACTTATCCATATAAGTTAAGAATGTTGAATTTTTTTTATTTTTTTTAAGATACAGGAAAATTAGGAACATCTTCTCGTAAGACTTAATCTAATTTATCGAAAAGTAAAAAATAAAAAAATTTGTTATCCATAAAGGGGTCGAATTTTGATGGGTCGGGATTAAATAATCAAGAGAGGCAACATAATCTGATGCTCGATTTCCTTCACGATAGATATGCTGAGAGTCAAAAGCTGAGAAAGACTCCAGAATCCTTTTGATGTCATCCATGAGCAGATGCAACTTCCAAGGGCAGCAGAATTTTTGCAAAATATTAATAAAGTTACATTATCTCCTTCAATAAAAATATAGGAGATGTTATGGTCTCTTGCTAAAATAAGACCATTACGAAGAGCAATAGCTTCAGCCAAGAAGGCCGGACAAGAGCCCAAATTATAAGTGCGATCGACTAGCTATGTTGTTACCAAGGTGGTCACGAAGGACCACACCAGCCGTCGCCGAGTTATGTAAAGCAGAGCCATCAAAGTTTAGTTTACAAAAACCCATAGGGGGAGAGGACCAAGAAATAAAAGAAGTTGATTAGGATGTAAATATAGGGAAAGACAAAGGAATCCCCTACTCTCAAGTATTTTGTATATAGTAGGGCTTGAACTCGTGATCTTAACAAAGTGAGCTCCCGATCAACTCTCCCAAACTTTGCCGGATAATGTTTAATTATACATGCGTTGATATGTATGCCAAATTTAACTATGACAATCACTATGCAACAAAGATAATACGAGTATATCTCACGAGCATACATCAATAATAATTTGTTTGATTAGTGTATTTATTTATTTTTTTTATATTGGAAACGGATTCGATTAAACCGATGTCGTTACCAAGAGTTTTGGTTAGAAGGCTTGATAACAATTATCATTACCCTCATGAATTGATGATAATAGTTACTGTTTTGGGTGCTTTTGTCCCTCGGGAGAGTTACAACACGAAGACTGATCCGGCGTGAGCTATACCTGCAAAACAAACGGAGACACCGGTTGGGTGGTACTCCGCCTCCGACGAACAAGATAGTAACTTGAAGGGAGAGAAAAAGGTGCGGAAATTTAGGTGAGTATCTGCTCGGATTCCAAGCTCAGGTGTCTCTATCACAGGGACAATTTGTAGTAAATGGTAAAAACGTGCCCTCCAAAAGAGGGAAATCTCCCTATTTATAGGGTCCTCGGGATTTGTGCCCCTGATTAGGTCACTGATCCCTAATCATTGGTGGGTTGCGCCGCATTGCGGCTTTCTCGAGATTTGGGCCTGAAGGCCGCCATATTTCCCCCTAATTTCTGGAGTGACACGTGTCAGGCAGGGATTGGTCCACTTTGGGCCATCCTGAGGCTGACACGTGTCATCCTCTGATTGGATCACGTGGCGGGGTAAAATTACCCTAAACATTTGCCCCTCACAGATGTGACGTGGCACGCCACGTAGCATCTGTGACACGTGTCACGCCCCGATTGGTGGTAATTTTACCATCAAAGAGTAACCGTTCGCCTTCCAAGTAAATTACGGGAATTCCCTTGTATTTACCCTCTATATATAGCCGTTTACCCTCATAATTTTGTACGTTTACAAAAAAATTTCTAGAGAAACAACTTTGAGAGAGCAGAAGTCATCCGTTTGAGTCAGGCGCAAGCAAGAAAGCTCGGTCTTCATCAACCTAGCCGGGCCCGTCTATCTTCATATATCACATCTAAAGGTACCGTCTCTGCCTCTCTTAGCTCTTTTTCTTGTTTCACCGCTTGTACATATTTCTTGCAATAAATGGATGCATCACCAACACACACGGAACAGCCTAGGTTAGAGTTCAGCCGATCACCAGGGACGGCTGAGTCTAGGACTGGGAGTGTCGTCTCGGGGTGTTGGGACCACCCTTTGCCTTGGATTCCGACCATTTATGTGTCTGTGCAGGATACAATGGCTCGGACTATGCAGACGGCCACCGATCCGAATTACAGAAGCGAGAGCTCAGGCGGCCAAACGCCTGAGGGAGAAACGTCTTGTCAGAGAAACCATACGGCTCTGGAGAGATCCCCTCCGCGTGCCCCTTCAACTCCCGCAGATTCCTTTTTGGAAGAGTGCGACTAAGGCGGCGATGAGGCCGTCTCAACTCCTTTGACCCAAAGTGAGGAGGAGACGGAGAGCTACAGCTTCGCCTCCACCTCTGAGAGCAGCGACGACCTGCCCCCGCTTGAGGATAGCGAGGAGGAGGAGAGAAAGAAATGGAGGGAAAAGGACGACCCCTTTAAAATTCACGTCTCCTCCAAGGACAGGATTCATATGGAGGAGAACCTGAAGAACTTTACACAAATGCACCCGTTAGGAGACGGGTACAGAATCAGAGTGCCGCCTGAGGACGACACCATCGCCTGGGAAGACGATCAACAAAACGCCAATAGCTACTTCGGCTGTTATGAGGCGGTGTTCAAGGCCGGTCTTCGCTTTCCCCTTCACCAGGCGGTGAAGGCAATCTTGAGAGGCTACGGCCTCGGAGTCTGGCAACTTACCCCCAACTCTTGGGCAAACATTTTGGGGTATGTTGCCGCCTGCGAGTTCCAGGGGTTCCAACCCGGATGGGAAGCTTTTGCTAGGATGCATTATCTTAGCCGAAGGCCAGGCGGTTGGAGGGCGTGGTACACTTTAACCACGCATCCCCAATACATGATGACCTTGGACAAGGTCTCAAAGTTCGACGGCTGGAAGCACAGGTTCTACCTGATGTCAGCCCCCAGCAAGCAGGAAAACTATGAATTTCACCAGTACAATAAGAAGCCCGACCTGATGGGCCGGAAATGCGCTCTTCCCCGGATCCCGGATGAGGATTTTGACAAAATCATCGAGGCAGACTTTTTCGGCCTCACAGACGCAACCTTGTCAACCGGGGAAACAATAAAAGCTCCCAAGAACCGGATCCCCAAGAGCGCCTGGTTCAGGGACGAGTGTTTCTTAGCTGCCTGCGGTCTAGGACACATGTTTACCAAATGTATGCGCCTGCGTTTACATCTGCCTGTAGTGCTTTTGTGTCGGAATAGATTTATGACATTGACCAATCTCTTTCTTTTTTACAGAAGAAGCTTTAAAGATGTTGCAGACGGAGAAGACTCCCAAGCGGTCCTCTGCAGTCATCCGCAAGGAGCTTGTAGAAAAAGCTGCGGCCGCAGTCAAGGCCAAGGTAAGAAACGCCTGACCCTTTCTTAGATTGGTCTCAAAGATTATTTTCTCCGGATGCTAACTTTAACTTGATTATTTTCGCAGGGGGGAGAGGTAGGAAAGACGTTTGAGAATGATATGTCTATTTTATATAGTATTTTACCCCCGTCCCTTGGTCATAATTAGTAGTGTTTTTGGCTCCTTAGGGCCACTTTTATTACTAATATGTGTTTTCTAGTGTTTTCGTAGTTTTGGTTGTGTTTTGCAGGGAATTGCACCATTTTTATGAAGCAACTACGAGCATTGGAGGAGCACGACCGTCGTTGAAGCCCAAGGCCGGCTAGAGCCATCGAGCCGGTGATTAAGGGCTCGGTATGTGGAATACCGAGGTTTGGACCGAGTATTCAAGACCCGAAGAGGAGATCCGGATTGGGCCGAGGAGTCGAGCCCAATCAGAAGTCCAAAGCCTCGAGGAGCCACAAGGGCCCGATCGGGCAAGCTTAGCTCGATCGGGCAAGGAGCGCAGCAAGCCAAGGACGAGTGGCCCAAGGCGCGCCCGATCGTGCGAGGGTTAGCACGATCGGGCGGTGCTGCTGAGGAGAATGTGCTAGCAAAAAGGCGCGCCCGATCGGGCGCGTGTTTCTGGAGAGGTGTTTTTGACGAGCAATTAGTTTCTAATTAGGAGTTTTTTTTTTTAGTTTTGTTTAAATACGTTTTTGTACGGATTATTTAGGATCTTCTTCTTCTACCTCTTCTTCTTCTCTTAATCCTTTCTCTTAGTTTTCTCTCTCTACTTAGACTTCTCTCTCTAAACTCTATCTCTAAACCTTTGTTATTAACTCTTTAATTAATTCCAGATTTATTTTGGTAACGATTTCTCTTCCCTTAATCTTAGTTATTTATTTTATTCCTTTCATCATGATTTATTCTATTATTTTGTTTAGTTTAGTTTTTAATATGTGTGAGTAGTTCAATTTCTAGGGTTTGTGGGGATCCATAAATAATATGAAGGGGTAAATTATTGTTGTTGATTATCAATGCTAGATTAATTTCCTATTGATTGATTTAATGCTCTGTGACTAGATTAGGCCTATCTTTTATGCATGAGTTTGACAATATTGATTCAAGAATCGAGAGATGAGAATTAATGTTTAGGTCTAGTTTCAATAGGCGAGTTAATTTATAAATGGTTAAGTCAAGAATCGAGAGATGAGATTTAATACCGATAAATTAATTGTGTGATTGTAATAAGTAGCGAGAGCCCTTCACAATCTGGTTAATTGATGCATTGATGATTGACTATTATTGATTGTTGGTATTGCATGATGATTTCTTATTGGATTGTTTTAATGTTTTACAATTGCGGCTTGTAAAAGTATGGCAATATTAAATTGATGAATCGAGCAGATGTTAATTTGATATTAAAGGCTATTTTCAATAAGAACTTAGATCTAGTAAATTGCGAGAGCCTGTTAGATCTATGTTGATTAATAAATTGCGAGAGCCTGTTAATCATGTTATTTATGCAATGTCAATGATTGATTACCCTATTTTACCCCAGAGTATTATTTATTGGTGAACATATGCCCTAGATCCTTTTATATATTATTTTCTCCCTATTCCTACTCTTTTTAGTTTAGTTTCTTATTCATTCATAAATATTGGTTACTTAAATAATTTAGATTATAATATTTAATTAGGAGTAAAAAGACTTGTTTCCCTGTGGAGATCGACCCTACTTCCCTATCTACTTTAGTTAGTGATTTAGGTAATTATTTTTTATTAGGGGATACGACTTTACCCTGTCAGAGAAAAATCTCAAACGGGCTAGGGAGGAAACCCCCTCCATTCTCAACAAA